CTGGAAATGAGAAGAAGGTTTGCAAGTTAGTCAAGTCGCTTTATGATTTAAAGCACTTTATGGTTTAAAGCAAGCATCAAAATAGTAGCATGAGAAATTTGATAATATCATTTTATCTCATGGTTTTAAGCATAGTAATGCGGATAAATGCATATACTCTAAATTTATAAATAATTTTGGTGTGATTATATGTTTATATGTTGATGACTTGCTTATCTTTGGAACAAACATGCAAGGGGTAAATGATACCAATAAGTATCTAACTTCACAATTTAAGATGAAATATCTTGGTGACGTAGATACTATCTTAGGTGTAAAAGTGAGGAATCATAGTGAGGGTTACTCGTTGTGTCAATCTCATTATATTGAGAATGTGCTTCTTAAATTCAATCATTTGAAGTTTAAAGAAGCGAATACCTCATATGATTCTAGTATTAAATTATTAGAGAATGCAAGCCGAGTGGTGGCACAACTTGAATATGTTAGTGCGATTGGTAGCTTGATGTATGCCATGCATTGTACAAGACCTGACATAGCATTTGCAGTATGCAAAATATCCAGGTTCATGAGTAGTCTGGGTATTGAACATTGGAATGCAATTGGCAGAGTACTTTGTTATCTTAAAAGAACCATTACTTTGAGTTTGTCATATAATGACTATTTGGCAGTACTTGAAGGGTACTCGGATGCAAGTTAGATAACAAGTGCAAGTGATAACAAATCCACATCCGGTTGGATTTTCACAATTACAGGAGGAGCCATCTCTTAGGCTTCTAAGAAATAAACGTGCATAACTCATTCTATGATGGAGAGTGAGTTTATAGCAATTGTAGCTGTGGGCAAAGAAGCAGAATGACTGAGAAATCTATTGTTTGATATTGAGTTGTGGCCATAACCGATGTCATCTATTTGTTTGTACTACGATAGTGAAGGTACTTTGTCTGAAGCTTATAACAAGGTTTATAATGAGAAATCTAGACATATTAGCTTGAGACATAAATATGTGAAACAATTGATAACCAATGGTGTTATCAATATTGTTTATGTTAGGAAAAATAAGAACCTAGCGGATCCTTTGATGAAAGGTCTTTTAAGAGACTTAGTCAAAGAAACATCTAATGGAATGAGACTGAAACCTTTCTTTGAAAGAGTCACGGATGATGGTAACCTAACTATGTAGTAGTTGTACCGTTATTCCATAGTTAAATGGGTAAGAACAAGTCATTGTTATGTGACCGGCTTAGCACTGAAATTTAATTAGTCCCTTCCAAGATGTCGGTGTAAAATAACTAAGTGGAAGAGGTTGAGTTTATACTCTTCATGAAGTTCGAGTCTCATAGTAGTTAGAGATATAATTCGAAACTTCACATAAGTGAACATAAAGAATGGTGACGTTCCTAACAAGACTGTGGTTTACTCTTGTAAATGGTCATGAATCTAAGATAGAGCATAAGGCCAGAATAGTACTACATGATTAGAACATATTTTTAAATCTTGGATAACACATATGTGATATATTTCCATTATTTGCTTAAGAGACAAAGTTTAATGCAAAGTACACTGTTGTCTTGTGAATACTTTGAAGTATAGTCACTAATTAAAGGTTAAAATCGAAAGATATCTTCATGTATGTGTGCGTTTATCGTTATTAATTTTTGAGAAATATTACAATCTAGTGGGAGATTGTTAGAGAGATTGTAATATGTCTTGATCAAGATCACAAGTTGTTTGAGTGTTAAAGCATGAAAAACTCGTGTTAAAAGGGACTTCAAAAGCGCTGTAGTGAGTTTATAAATGCTGCAGCGGACAAACTGCACAAAACTATGCAATTTGGTTTAGCCAAACCAGCTGCAGCTGAAATATTTAGGCTGCAGCCAAAATATTTGCACTGCGGTGGAAAGCTTTTCGCTACAACGCCCTTGTGTAGGCCTCTCGGGTCTGTTTGCGTGCTGCAGCAGAAATTCTGCAGAAAAACAGTATTTTCATGAGTTTATGTGATCTAAAACGTTTCGAACTATTACATCCATTGGTGATATGTTTTCATACATATCTGAACACCAATTAGCAATAGATATAACTATTGTAATAAGTGTATTAATCCATGAAAATATACCTTTACATTGAAAAGGTACCTTTATGTGAATGGTTGTAATGTTTAAAGAGGATGCATTCATTCATGAAATGACACCTCTGTCTTTATTAATTCTCCATAAAATTTATAGACTATTTTGAATGTTCTGGAACTCAATATTATTGCTAGATATTATGTTCAAAGGTTTGTTGTATCGTGGAGATACTTTACCATTAAAAATTATTAGCAAACTTTGAGAAGTGAGGACAAATAAAACCTTAAAGGAAGGTATTCCTATACGCCTCAAACTCTCTCTTATTTCTGCATTCTTTTCACCATCTACACTCAAATTTTCCAACACTTAATGACATTGGCGGAAGAGCTTTCAAAATTAAAGGTACATAGAGGTCATGTTGAGTAGAGTGTGAAGTAGTTTTAATATTCTGCACTCCTAAGAATTCAGACCAACGCCTCTTAATGGCATTAGTTAAATGCTCCAAATTGATACTTTTGCCACCAAACACCAAGTCATTCTGTCCCTTCCAAATGGCCTCCATTAGAGTGCCTTGCAGTAAAAGTTCTACCTTGTCCACTAGATGGTAACAGATTAGTTAAGGGATCTAATAGTGCCTCCAGCAATTCAAAAGAGTTCTGAATTATAACCCTATCCCGTTTAACTGGCCAAGGGCAAGTGAACCAGAGGGCAAGTGAACCAGAGGGCCCTAACCATATCACAGTAGAGAAAGAGGTGGACCAGGGTTTCAGTATGTAAGTGACAAAAACGACACTCCGTTGCATTGGCCAATTTCAATGCTGCTAGTTTACCTATTGTAGGTAACACATCATAGGCTAAAATGGAAGAGCAACATTTTTAATTTGTCATGTAATTTTGAATTTCATAGTGACACCATAGATTCTAGAGAATGCCCCCGCCTTACTGAACTGACTACACGTAATGAAACGAAAGTTCAGGATGAGGGAGCATACTACGATAAGCGAGACTCCTCTATAATATTGTAGCCGCTCATGGTTATTTTGGCCGATTGATCTTCCAATATGCAAGTTCCCCCCCCCCCCCCCCCCCCATACCGAACTTGTCATGGTTTAGTAAATTTCTCCTAAAATTTTCAATTTTGACAATCAATCTCTAAACTTATAAAACTATTATAATGTCCCTTATTTTACTAAAAACTATTGCAATGTCCTCTATTTTACTAAATTTGCTCAAACCTTTTATTAAATTTAAGGGATTAAAAGTTGAGGAATTGGAAAATTTGTGTTACATTAAAATTGGGATGTTAGAATTTTCATCGAACGTGTTTTTTAACACTAACTTAGCACAATTATTGTCAATATAAGACATATTGCATCATTTTATAATTTCTGGAGCAACTTGCTAAAATTAAAAATTTAAGAGGCAAATTGCTAAAGGTATACAAGTTCAGAGGAAAAATGGTGACTTAGACATATGGCTGAATTACAACTCTAGAATTGAAATGTGGCTTGGGTTTAAGAATATCTCATCAATGGCTTCATTGTATAATGACATTTAAATAAATTATTATGTAATTACATTATTAACCTTATAATGATAATTTAGTTTTTTTTTTTTTTTTTTTTTTTTTTTTTTTTTTTTTTTTTTTAATATATCTAGACGTTGCTCTACCTTTTTCTCACATTTTATGGGATATCTATCTTTTTTAAAAATACAAATCCCCAAAATAAAGAAAATGAGATATCATTAAATCACAAATTAACTAAATTACTTCTCATGATATATCAATATTTGTAAGTTTTAAAATTCAAACCATCAAACAATATTAAATTTAATTAACTAGATTCTAACTAATCAAGTCTAAAAACAAATGATATCAGTATTTAATATTTCAAATCTACCAAAATCTTTCTAACTCATGTCACTAAAATACAATCAAAACATTATAAACACGATCAAAGTAATATCAACGCTCTTGTTTCTGATAAACAATTGTTCTAGTCCATGTAATCAAAATACAAGCAACGTCATTATCAACGACCAAAACACTGCAAATATTAGTACTCGCCTCCCTAACAATGAATTGTTCTAGCCCGTGTCATTAATATACAATTAATTTCATTATAAAATTGATCAAAAACTATATATACAAAATCAACAATGGAACATATACAAATAGCTATAGATATAGTCATAGACATGATTACAATGCAGTTAATTTAATTACACCAGTGGGCTCTTTTAATTAATGAAGGTTCATCTACTTTTTTTAATGACAAACTACGTTTTATCATTATAATATAAGCTCTTCTAGTGACATATCAATAACCTCTCAAAAAAATATTGCAGGAGCCAATGTAATTAAAAAAGATTAAAAGACAGATGAATTAGGCGATAATTATTTAAATTTGTCAAATTTAAAAAGAGTATTGTATTAACGTGTTGATAAATGTAATTCAAAATCTAGATAAATTAATTTGATCATTTTTTAGCCTTTCAAATTATGAGAAAAATGTGGAAATTAGTTTCCAATAAAAACACAACAAAATCAATTGAAAGGTTATTTTTGAGATGTCAAAAAGTATAATATAAATTATCAGCCATATAAATGATATTTGTAAAATTAAGCTAAAATTTAATTTGACTCTAAAAAAGGTTAAATTGTGTAATTTTTACGAGGAAAAATGTGTAAAATACCACCCAAAAAAAAAAAACAATAATGGGATAAGGTAGTGAGCTGTACGATCAGATTTTTTTTTTTAAAGGATGATATTTTATTCTTTTTTCCTTCTAAAAAAAATTATTTTTCCTTTTCTCCAATTCGCTTTCAAGCTTCAACTTGCAGAAAAGGGAACCAATGAAGACACAACACGAGTCTCACACCAATTGGAGTAGCGTCTACAAACGGGAATTGAAATTCTTGATAAATATCTGAATTTCAATCTTCCTCCGCACACTTTGCACTCTCTCTCTCAAGATGGACCGTACCACTCTCTTCTCTCTCGTCCTCCTCTCTCTCCTATCCACTACGGTGGCCTCCACCGTAGCTCCTAAGGAGACCGACGACGACCTTCTGATCCGCCAAGTCGTGTCGGCTGGCGATGATCAGCTCCTCAGCGCTGAACACCACTTCTCCAGCTTCAAGGCGAGGTTCGGGAAGGCCTACGAGACCGAGGAGGAGCACGACTACCGGTTCGAGGTGTTCAAGGCCAACCTCCGACGAGCCAAGACGCACCAGAAGCTCGATCCGAACGCCGTTCATGGAGTCACGAAGTTCTCCGATCTGACGCCGGGAGAGTTTCGCAAGAAGTTTCTCGGCCTCAAGCGGCTCCGCCTCCCCGCCGACACTCAGAAGGCTCCGATCCTTCCTACCAACGATCTTCCCGCCGACTTCGATTGGCGCGATCATGGCGCTGTCACGCTGGTCAAGGACCAGGTGATCATCTGCTTCCGTTGACTTTCGTAATTGAATTTGATTCTTTCTTTCTTTTTTTCTTTTTTTTTTTGAGAAAGTTTTTTGATGTTATTTCTGTTAATTGAACGAGGACTAGGGTTCTTGCGGGTCATGCTGGTCATTTAGTACGACGGGAGCACTGGAGGGAGCTCATTTTCTGGCGACAGGAGAGCTTGTCAGCCTGAGTGAGCAACAGCTTGTGGATTGTGACCACCAGGTTTTGCTTCTTTTTCTTTTCCCTTATTTTTAATCTCTTCAAATTGTTCTGATTTCTTTTTTCATATAGTTTAAGCGTGAATATTAGTTATTTGGATTATTTTCTTTCTTTAGATATAAGTCAACGATCTAAGCAAAATCTAAAAGAAACTTGTTTGATGTAAAAGGTTTTCGATGTGAACTACGTTTTGTGGTTTTTCTCCTGTATATGGCCTACTTTCTCAATCGCGTAACATGCGCAAAGTTTTGATATGGCGGATTTTTTTTTCCTCTTTACTTTTTTGTTGGCGTGCCGCATTAAAAAGTTAAAAAGTTGCGAATCTATAGATCTCCCTCTGGAGACAGCTTGACTATGAAATTAAGGACTGAAAATCTTAATTTTGAGGTTTTGATTTTGTGATGGTGGTGTTTACTTGCGCAATTCCTTTTATCTCTTTAGTGTAGGTATCAGTTTTGCTTGTCCGTTGTTCTTAGCCAATTGCTAGAGTAGAATTGGTCATTAATTTTGATAATCCTGTCAAGAGTGCTATGCATATCCGTCGCTGTTCTGAGTTTTGAAATTTTTCTTGCAAATTGGAAAAGAACAAAAGTGCTATTGCATCCACTAACTTGTTTGTCAGTAGCCAAGTGATGTGGTTGATTGGTATGTTTCTATTGATAGTCATTTGTTTTAGTGTGTATATTGTATCTCACCGATCAGAAAACAAGAAGTCAATCGCCAACTTTTGGTGGCTGAATTGTGTAAATAAGTTGGTGGTGTAATTGGTATTTATAGAAGGGAAAACAAAAAAACTTAATTTGATTCGTTCTGATGGCAGAGACAAAATGGCGTTAAAATTATTAAGACTATGGTGAACAATTGATAATGATCTGAGTTCGCTTGTCTACAATTGACTATAGTTGTACCTCTTGCAGTGCGATCCGGAAGAAAAAAATTCATGCGACGCAGGCTGTAATGGTGGGCTGATGACCAATGCCTATGAGTACGCACTCAAGGCCGGTGGACTACAGCGAGAGGTGGACTATCCTTACACTGGGAAAGATGGTACCTGCAAATTCGACAAGACTAAGGTTGTCGCTTCTGTAGCTAACTTCAGCGTTGTGTCCCTTGATGAAGACCAGATTGCCGCAAATTTGGTGAAGAATGGTCCCCTCTCAAGTAATTAGCTTCTCCAATTCTCTTTTGGAAATACTTTCACGGTTTGTTATTAAATCCGAGCAATGGTGGTAATAAGGGATTCTTTTTCCATTTTGCAGTTGGCATCAATGCTGTTTTCATGCAGACATACATAGGAGGAGTTTCGTGCCCATACATCTGCTCAAAGCATATGCTGGATCATGGAGTGCTTTTGGTGGGCTATGGGACTGCAGGATATGCTCCGATCCGATTTAAGGATAAGCCTTACTGGATCATAAAGAATTCATGGGGTGAGAATTGGGGAGAGCAAGGATATTACAAGATCTGCAGGGGACGCAATGTTTGTGGGGTGGACTCTATGGTCTCAACCGTAGCTGCTCTGCATATGGAAGATAAAAGTTCGGAAATCCATTAAATTACCTTGTATATGTGGTGGCAAGTGGGTTATGTAAATATACAAGTGAAGCTGCCATTTAGATGACTTGTGTAATTCTGTTTGTCTCCATGGGAACTTATGTTTTAGGATTTCACGATTTCTGCTCGAACCTATTGTAGGCAACTACTTGTCCTCTGGGTATATCAGAAACTATTGATGAATTTATAAAAATAATGTCTTCTTCTTGTGCCAAGACATGCTTGTGGAAATTTATTTGAACAATATCACGTTTGGTTCCTAGGGAACAACGTTAATATCAAGGCATTTGCAGTAATGCTGTAGGTTTATTTTTTTTTATTTTATTTTATTTTAGGGATGCTAATTGCAGCTGCTTGAACACTTGCTAGTCCACTTCTCGCTCAAAGCGTGACACGTTTCTTTACTTTTTGCTTCTTGGAAGAAGTAAATTAATAAAATAAAACGCAAGTGATGGATTTGATTTGAAATTACGGAAATACCGTTCTAGGACATTGCGTTGTGCAAACTTGCTGATGTCCACTTAATTAAGTTCTTAAAATATGTGCCTTTTTAAAATAAATAAATAAATTAAGAGACAAGGTTGACAGTAATAATTGTTTTGGACCTGTTTTTTGAAAGTGTTTGAATGGAAGTGTTTTATTTTTTGAAAAAATTTAATCAAAGTTAGAAATTTTAACTTTTAAAAAAAAAATTATAAATAGATTTTAATACTTGCATTAGAGTTTAATTAAGATATTATAAATTTAATTCTAATATTTTTATTACTTATTAAAAAATTTAAAAATTATTTTGACCCATTAAACTGTTGATTCTAGACATTTATGGAAAAGTCACAACTTTTATTTCTCTTTTTTTACTGATTAAAAACAAAAATAAAAACTCCGCTCCTTTCATTATTATTTTTTATTTTCCATCATGTAATAGTATGACTTAAGCAAATTTAAGACCTCAAATTAAAAGTTTTAAAATGGGTAATTTTTCATACAAAAAGACATTTATTAAAAATTCAATTAAACATATTTAAAATATATTTTCCTTTAAAATACAAAATTAATAATCAAATCTTCATACATAAATTTTAATCAATATCAGTTATTAAAAATTTAAAAAAATATCTATAATCTTTAAATAATTATTTAAAAATTAAAAATCTTTAACAAGTATACTATGTTAAAATAACAGTAATAAATAAAAAATTTAGTAAATGAATAATCTTTCTCTTAATTATAAGTAATTTATTTTTGTGAATTATTTTTATTGAGAAAAGAAATAGGAGACAAACAATAGAAAACAAAAAACATAAAATCCATTTTTTTCTAATAAAAGAACCAGGAGAGAATTTCTAGCCAAAAAAAAGAAAGAAATAGGTTTGTTTTCGGTAATTAAGAAATGGTTATTTTATAGTCAGTTTTTTTAAGGTATTTTACAGTCATTTAGTTTGCTAATTAATGGGATATGTAACAGCAACAGACGTTAGCATCTAAATAAGCATTGGATCAGCATTTGCTTTTAGTACTCCTCCAAAAATTGGGTGGTCTTTTTTTATTATTATTATGTTCTTTTCATAGATTTAAATTAAACTTTGAACTGAATTTAAATTTTTTTGAGAAAATCCAAAGTAGTAAAAATGTTAAATTATGATTTAAACCTATAAAAAAAACTATGAAAAGAAAAACATGATCCATACATCCTAACTAGAAATCAGAACTTACCCTTTTTTTCTTTGAGAATGGAACTTACTCTTTTAAGCACTTTCTTTTTTATTTTTGTTATATATATATATATATATATAGTTGAACTTTATGTCTTATGCACGTGGGGATCAGTTACTGTTGAGTTTTAATTACAGTGTTATTATTAAAAATATATAAAATATGAATATGAAATTTTAAAAAGGAACCAAAATAAAAAAAAAAAATTTTAGGGCAAGAAGTAAAAAAAAAAGTCAAATAAGGAGTAAAATGATGAAATAAATAAATTTTAGCATAAAAGGAATCAAAACGAAAAATAAAGTTTCAAGGCAAAAATGAAAAGAAAAGGTTATAAATGACAAAAAATTAACACGTAAATATGTTTTGGGACAAGATGAACCAAAACAAAACAAAAATTTGAGCACATAAATAAAGAAAGGGTAAAAAAAGACTAAAATGAAGAAATAAATAAGTTTAAGATAAAAGAAACTAAAATGAAAAAAAATAAATTTTAGGCTAAAAATAAAAGGGGTCAAAAAGGAAAAAATAAATTAATTTTGAGGCAAAAGGAACAAAAACGAAAAAATTTTTAAAAAAAGTTCAATATGCATTAAAATGAAAGATTGAATAAGTGTTAGAATAGAAGCAAAGAAAAAATAAAATCGAGGACTTGAAAAAAAAAAAAAAAAAAGTAATCAACCAAAACAGAGAAAATACAACTATAAGCGCATTTTTTTTTTTTTTTTGGCTGATAACTATAATCGCATATTTAAAAGAACCAATTGGGTGGGAATTGAATGATGCACATGGCATTTCCGTAATTTTAAGTCAAATTAGTAGACCCATAAAAATTTTAAAAATTTATGGGTTATTTATTTTATAACTCAAGTTATATTATTACAGTATTTATTTTAATAAAAATTTAATTTTAATTTTTTTTATTATAATTTTTTTTTTATCTACATAATTTAAATCATAATATAAGTTGGGCAAATGATTATCTAACGTCTTTTAAGCTGCCAAAAGTAATGAAACGTGTCATTCCATGAGGAAGAGAGTGGACAAGCAAGTGCTAAAGCAACTGCAGATAGCATCCCTCTTTTTTTTTTTTTTTTTTTTTTTTTTCCCTGTAAGCTTCATATCTCGTCGGTCTTTTGAGTGACAAATTCTAGAAGAATAATAATAAAAAATATTATTTTGTAGTTGCTATTAGAGTTCATCAATCCATTGTAGTCTAGATGGTTAGGATATTGGGCTCTCACCCGAAAGACCCGGTTCGAGTCCCGGCAACGGAATTTTTTTCCCTTCGTTCTCAGTTAATTTTAATAGAAATTTCCCAGTTATTTGTAATACTTATATCAGAAATTGTTTGTATATCATCAAAATCCGTTGTAGTCTAGATGGTTATAATATTCGGCTCTCGCCCAAAAGACCCGGATTAGAGTCCCGGCGAGGGAGTTACTTTTTGTTGCTTATTTTTCCCCTGACACCTTATACACTCTCACTTGTACAACGGAAATCAAAACCAACCTACAACTCAATCACATCATCTCCTTCCATAGACACTTAAAACAAGGTTCTTTGTAATCTGATCTGATCCATCAAATGACCTTGATCTCGATCAATTTCAGATGTCTTCTTTTTTCTTTTTTCTTTTTTCTTTTTTTTTTTAGGATAATTTCAGCGGCCATCCTGAACAACAGCTAAGGACCATGTACGATGGGTGACCATGAATAGTAATTAACGGTCAAAGGACCAACACATTATTATTAAAATTTCAAAGTTTCAAACATTTCCCATTAAAAGTTTGGTAATGCAGTCCTACAGCTTAGCGGAAATCAAATGTACAAATCAATCACAACATCTGCTTCCATGGACACTTGAAACAATGTTCTTTGTAATTTGATCTATGAAATGACCTTGATCTCGATCAATTTTAAAGATCTCTCTTTTTTTTTTTTTAGAATAATTTCAGAGGCCATTGCTGCCAATGTTCATGAACAACGGCTAAGGACCACATATGATGAGTGACCATGAAAAGTAATGAACGATAAAAAGACCAACCAATATTATTAGAATTTCAAAGTTTCAAACATTATCCATTAAAAGTTTGGTAATGGCAGTCCAACAGCTTAGTGGAAATATTTGATTTTTGATTGACACGTTTTCTTCACAAGAATATATAAGAAACATGAGGTTTTCCCGACGAAACAACAAATTTATCATATAAAACAAATCACCCAAATAATCCTAAAAAGAATATAAGAATACAAGTATCAAACAGAAATTTTGGAAAGTCACTTGTCAACTCATGGCTGTCTAAATTTCAAATAAGTTTTGCAGCATGTTGAAAGGGCTCTTTTTCATATTTGAACTTTGAACCACAAACTTCATCTAATAGGAGTGTGATACTAATGAGCTTACTGGTGTTGCTATATCACCTTTCTAAAGCCTCCAGGCTCCAGCTCAAGTGAGGAATTGACCGGTTTTCTATAATCGCAGCTAGTTCTCTGCTGCTTGGTAGTTGCAGCTAATTTAACATTAAATCTGTCTTTGATCCTAGAAACAAGCTTCATAATTTGTATCATTCATCGTCTTCGCTAACTATTGTGAATGAAAAGGGGCTAAACTTGTAACCATTTCCCACGTAGAACTTGTTCTGAAACTCCACCCAGTGAAGCCTCAAGGCATGTAGAAATGCACTAAGTGTTTCCATCACCAGTAGAACACCAACAGTTGCAAATACGAAAACAACTATGCCAATAATTAGAATAATGACATTGTTGAACCTGCGGTCATTTCACAAGAGTTTCATTACTCTGCTTTTGCTGAGATCTCAAGAGACATTCATGCAAGAGCAAAAACATAATGTAGTACTTACCCCCAAGCTAGAAGTAGAACCTTGTCATAAAATACACTTGACAACTCCGAGTGAGCTAGACTGGATTTAACACAAAAAACCAAACCAGAAGATCAACATTCGAACTTTAGGCTGGATAAAATATGCATCAAAAGAGACAACAGCGCAGAACAAATTATTTGTCCAATAAGATCCTGCTTTGCCATATTAAATTAAAAGCACGCCATGACTTCTTATCGAATGATAGTTTATTCTGGCCACAGCCCATGTGTGCACCCAAAAAAAAGAAAAAAAAAAAAAGAGTATAAAATAAGCAATTGGGATCACATGCTTGTTAGAGATGCATATTCAAGCTTCGATAAGATGAGATGAATTAAGAAGTCAGTCAACCTGAGGGCCCACAGGCGCAGATATGAAGCCGTGTTGGACACTGCACCAAGAACAAATTCTATTGTATGAATCAGTTGGTGTACAAAGACCTCACTGAACTCAAATTCCTCATGACTATGGGAATCAAGCTGGAGTTGTTCTTCTAGAGGGTCGTCAGCGCTATGAAGCATTGTGTACAATTGACCTTGATGCCTCTGAGGGAAAAATACGAGAGATGTCAAAATAAACTAAAAACTTACAGCTGGGAAACAAAATCGATTGGATATAGAGATATTAATAGAGCTCAGCGTTTACTTCATCATGTTGCTTCTTCAAGAGAAAAGGCTTTGGAAACATCATCCATGGCACAGCAATAAGAGCCGATAACAGTAACAAAATCTGGCAATTAAAATGCAAGGATCTTACAGGATTAGTGTCACGTCCAGTTACTGCATGAATAGTTTTTAGAATAAGTAAATGAGAGATTTAAACCTGTAGGAATTTTTGACCAATGAAAAGCTGATTTTCAGCTAAATCATCAGTAGGACTCAGGAACATATATATCATTACATGATATAAATCAGCTTGTGAACCGGTACACCATTTTACAATTATGAGGAGTGAAAGGTAGCCGAACAAGCTGTTCAAAAATATCATCTGGGGAACAAATTGGTACCTAAGCCATGCACAATAAATTACAAACAATAAATGCGCAACTTAAAATGAACTGGGAAAACAAGAAGATTTGCAATCCTTACAAACTAGAAAATTTACCCAACCAAAGAAAAAGGAGAAGAAAAAGTAGGTGGATATGAAAAATAATATATACATTGTTTTACGTGATATTCTAGAAGCCCTAGAAGAACTGAAGCTAAGAAAGTTGACAATACAGTATCCAGCTATTGTGTAAACGAGGTGCTGCAAAACATAGCTTACCAGATATTTAAATTATCATTGAAGAATTTTGCATTAAAGTAACTCAATATAATTCCAAGGTTCATCTGAACTACACCAAGTAAGATAGACATTTTCATCTTCAATGAGTTAAGAAACGGTAACTCGCTTCGGGTACCATGCCATTTAGGGTCTACTCCAAATGGGTAGGTGTCACGAACCTTAATCAAACCGATTGTAGTAGCATCCCTGCAACAAAAAGATCAGTGTTATAAAAAAAAAAAAAAAAAAGGTAGCATACAACGTACAATATCATCTTACGGTTCATACCTGCAGGAAGGGTCACGACATCCATAAGCTGACGGCCCAAATAATTCAAATGGGACCGAAAAGAATTCGTTATATATCAGTCCAGTGTACATTGAGAAGATTGCCATCATCAAGATAACATAACGACCACTAAATGTCATTTCTATAATGTCACCAAGTTTCTGTTGTCAACAAAACTCAAGTAAGCTGAACCATGCTATAATTACAAGCAACATAAATTCCAATCCGGTTAGACAAAATGCCATTCAGCAAATACCTGACTGGAAAATTTCTTTTCCCTCATGATAAAATAAAGTGTTGCCAGCAATAAACAGATACCATGGCCCCAATCACCAAACATGACAGCAAAAAGGAAAGGGAATGTGATAAGAGTGTAAACACCAGGATTTGCTTCTTGATACTTAGCAACCCTACAACGATAGAATCTGATCAGTTTTTCTGTACAGTTAAAATAGCCGATAGCCAAAATCTGAATTAATTGTAGCTATCATGGTCACTAAGACAATTGACAAGGGTTGAAAAAAAAAATTACCAACATCAGTTACGTTATTTCTAAAACATCAATTGGTGGATTAAAGTTAAAGAAATAAATTGGTGGGTTAAATTTAAAGAAATAAATTTCTAAAACATCAAATGGCGGATTAATCTACTGAAACACAGAAAATATTTAATGTGACAATGATTCTCTCTTATACTGTATGCTACGTAAAGATGTTTGTTTGTTTCTACAAGAAGCATTTTAAAACCAGAGTGGACAACAAAACACAATCTCGACCTGATGTTTGTTGAAATAGGTGGAAATAGCACTAGCATCAGTTTAGACCTTCAAAATGGCCTATTGATGAAGAATAAGTTGACTTTATGAAGACAAATATAGAAAATAAATTAGATTGATTCGGATTTGATTTTCAAATCTATTAGAATTGATTTTTTTGTTATGTTTTTATGCATTTAGTTTAGTAAATTTGGTTTCCTATTTTGATTATGTAATTAGCCTATAAATTGGCTATTTTGTTAGAAGGAATTCAGACAATTATAATTGATGATATTGAATTTCAAGATAAATCTCTCTCTCTCTCTTAAACTACTTCTCTCTTCCTCATATTTCTCCTAATCTCTCTGTAAACGGGTTTGAATGAAACTCTGATGATTAATATTAAATGGAGATTCACGTACATAAATAGGCTAAGCCTCTGACTGAAACTAACTCCTAATCTGGTGGCTTGATACTCTGAACATAACAGAGTTTATTTAAAAATTAAAAAACCTAACTTCCTAAGCTAATAATCCGAAACTACCTAACTACAAACATCAGAGCAATAAATAAAAACAGAGTTAATAAAAAATCCTAGATTATTGGTGCCAACACTCTCCTCTCTTTCCTTTCTCTAATTTCTCTTGTTTCTTCTCTTCTCTAATTCCTTTTATCCCTTGGTTCTGCATCAGTTTGGTATCAGAGACCGTTCATTTCCTCTGACCAATACTTCTTGCCACTGCCAAAAAAAAAGGTCTGAAGTTTTTCAAAAGAAAAAAAATCCAGAAATCTATTAAAAAAAAAGGGGGCGTTCCATACATAGAACAAAATCAGAGAATCAAAGTTTTCTGTCCTTCGGTGAAACTCCCCACATGCCAGTGAAGGAATTGCCATGCAAGTTGCACCATCCTCCTGACGCTACCAACACGGTAGTCCCACCAACCGACGCTTTCATTCTAGGGCTGGCAATCCGGGTAGCGACATGACAACACGACTCGAAATCCGAACAAAATTAGCGGGTTTTGGTTTATCATAAATAGGTACGGGTCAAAATCAGGTCGAACCCGTGAAACACGATTAAATAACGTGTCATTTTCAGGTTGACCCGCTAACCCACAATTGACCCGCCATAACCCGTTTATTAAACGTGTCATATTTGGGTAACACGAATACCCAACCCGTTTATTACACATTTTATAAACCGGTTCAAAAATATGTTCAGAAATAGGTTAACACGACCCATTTATCACTTATTTTATAAACAGATTCAGAAATAAGTTAACACAACCCATTTATCACCCATTTTCTAAACGGGTTGATACGACACGTTTATGACCTGTTTAATAAACGAGTTATTCGTGACGTGGCGTGTCAACCCGCCAATATACAGATCGTGTTTGGGTTTTGTATTTCGACACGATTAATAGACAGGTCGTGTTCGTGTCAGACCTATTTGTGTCAACTGAGAGGGTTAACACGACACGAACACGAGCCGCCAACACGAATTGCCGCCCCTATTTCATTCCTGCGAGGCACACCACCAATTTGAACTTATCAGCCTTCGATCCTCCCTTCCGCCGCGCAACGTTTGCCACCGACTAGCACCATACACCATCGATCACAGACGTGTTTTGATAGTGTGCTGCATTTCCTACAGTGTTGTGTTTTCCCTTGGTCCACAATACATTATTGGGCCATTGTTTCCCTTGGTGAAGATTGTTAGAAAGGCCATTGTGCAGGCTTAGTGAAGGAGTCTTGAAAATTAATTATGTATTCTCGTTAGAAGTTTAGTCATTAAGAATGCTTGGATCCATTTTTCAGGATGCATTTCCAAAAATATAATCAACCTCGTCACTATTATCATAATAGTTATTATGATCCTTGGTAGATCTGATGTTACGTCTGGTGTTCCAGATGATGTTGGAACACTGTCTGTAACACAGCTTGATTAATTAAGATCCGGATTAATTACGTACAGTTGCTCGAGCAGAATAAAGTGTAGAAAGTAAATGAACACACAATATGATATCGCAGTTCGGTGTGCACACTTACATCTGCGGGGCCACGCCCAGACAATAAACAGTTCACTATGTTCCAGAAATTACAGACATTGGACGGACTTATTCACTCAAGGACTCCCTTCTAGACAATGACGCCGCTGTGACAAATCTCCACAGTGATTGTTTAGCGTGCACCACACGTCTTCTATTCACCTGACGAACTCCCTTCGACCGGCAAAGCTTCCTCCCCAAAGCAACAAATCCCTCTTCCGAAAGACGATTTCAATAAGTCATAAAAACTCACAGATGTCTCTCTGAATATTTTCTCAGTAATAAGCTCTCAAATTCAGACTTTTTCTCTGGAGATATTCTATTAAATCCGTACCACAAATGAGCATCCTAGAGCAGTTTATATAGAACTTGTACTCCACGACAACCTCAGATAACTTTATCAATATCTAATAATTATCTCCTCTTTAACCAACTGCTCTATCTGGATATTTTCTTCAATTATCCCACGTTTGCAGCGTTAACTTTATTCTTTAAATATAATTCAAACTTCAAATCTGCATGCGCATCTTCATTATCTCCACGTGCACAATATCTTCACAATGGCTTAGTTATCACATTGGCTCCATGTGAATAACATCACGTAATGCAAGCCACTTTGAATTTCAAACATCACCCAAATTCCAAATGGCCAATATATATATATATATGGATTTTTCTCTTGCCAAATCAATCTTCCATTGCAATTCGAATTCAATTCCAATTCAAATCCAACTAAAAGCCAAAAACCGGATAATCATCACAATAAAATCTCCACATAATCTTTTTGATCCTTATCTCTTTCTAGAATCCCATTTAAATTCAAATAACCAATGCTTTATCTTCCTTTGACCAAGGACTTATCCTTATCTCTCCAAATCTGATTCTGAATCTTCTTCTGCAATACGAAATCTTCTTGAACCTGTTTTTTGAATTTTTACAATATTGTCAATAAATTGCCAACTAATAAAAATGCCTAACAATCCTCCACCTAATGATAGTTATTTTGAGCCTTCTTATTTTTATGAGCAACCTTGATTTCATTATGAGAGATTATATGAGAAAAAAGAAGATTACGAGCATGTCATATGTTAGGATTTTGTTAGTTGGCAATTTATTGGCAATCGTTTGTAAAATTCAAAAACAGTTTGAAGACGATGATGATGGCAGAATTCGAATTCGAGATGGAGTTGCAGATTGGAAATTTAAAAAAGTGCTACTATAGATTTTAATCTTTTAGATAATCTTGAATTAGATAATCTTTTTTTGAAGGAACTTGAATTAGATATTCAACTTTTAAATGAACTTCAAAAGGCAAGAGCCACGGTGTGTGTGTTTTACAAGTGGAATAATTGGTTTGGTTAATTCCGTGTGAATTGGATAAAGGGATAAAGGTTGGAGTTATCCAAAAAGGGCAATGAGATAATGAGTTTAGTCATATGTCGAATTGGAATCGTAGCGATTTGATTTTGAGAGAAAATCATGGAGATCTGGTTGAATAAAAAATCGTGGAGAATTTTTTAGATTTTTTGGGGTGAGATTTTTTGGGGAGAGATTTTTGGAAGATGTTTTTGAAAGAGATTTGGATTGTGCCAACATGAAGGAATACCTGTGATATTGAAATCATCCTTCTGGAGAGGGAATTGTAGCTTTCGGGAGGAAGCGTGTTGCCAGTCGAGGAGAGTTCACCGTATGTCTTCTTGAAGATGAGTGGTGCTCGCTGGACAAGGTCACTAAGAAGATTCATACAGCAGCGACAACATTAAGGAGGGAGTCTTCGAGTGTATAAATTCGAATAGGGCTTGTAATCATTTTGACTTAGTGGATTGTTTAACCACGGATGTCAGTTGTTTAACCGAACCGCGATATCAATCTCTAGTGTTCTTCACTTTCCGCTTTATTTTCCTACTTGATTAATTAAACGTTGCTGAATCCGAAAAATCTAATTAATCATCAGTGTTTCAGAATGTGTCTGTAACACCAGGCGTAAAAATAGATCTAACATCATAGATTACACTTCTTATTTCACACCCTTATTCCATTTAATGATAAAACCTTGCAAGCTTGTTATTGATGAACGGAGTGAGATTAATGTTGTGTCTCATGGATTTGTCAAGTGAATGAATCTTCAAACAAAACCTCACCCTAGACCGTTTTGGTTAAATTGGATAGGCAAAGGATTTTTTGAAGTTACTGAAAGATGTCTAGTACCTCTTCAATTTGGTCCTTTAAGATATATGTTTTTTGTGATGTTCTTCCCATGAATGTTACTCATATTTTGTTAGGACTTCCTTGGGTTGATGATTATGAGGTGATGCACACCAAAGGAATAAATATGTATTTCGACATAGTGGTAAAACCCTTATGCTGCTCCCTGCCAAGCCTAAAGAAAAATCTCCTATACCTAAGACCAATCTTCCTTCACAAGCTTCAAGTGAGTTAACTCTTGCTCATAGGTCTCAAGATGATATACCTATTGAGAAGGTTGAAAATAAGAAAGAAATTGTGACAAATGATGAGGTTGTTCAGCCCAAGTCCTTGCCCGAGTCTATTAGTGATGAACCATCTCCTCTGCAATTCATTGTTCCATCACTACGTTGTTCTCCGACCTCTTTGCCTATTGATTCTAGTCCCTAAAAATCAAATTCTCCAATAAATTTGCATGATGAAATTCCTAATCTTTCTCTTACTTCTATTGGATCTAATGCATTTATTTGATTTTCCTCCTAATGTGACTGTGGAAGTGGTTTTCAATGAGATGGAGTTGTTTTCTTATTGTGGTGACCAGAAGCCCCGAGCTTTTTTTGTGCTTGTTTTGCAGATAGTGTTTCTACAGTCAACAATCACGCTCATTTGGCTTCTTTCAAATTCAAGTGTTAAGATTCAAGAATTTCTTGCGTTTCAAACTGTTGCTTTCTCCAACCATGGGAGAATGATGAAGAATAAGAAATTGACTTTGAGAAAACAAATATAGATAATAAATTTGATTGATTGGGATTGATTTTCAAATCAATTAGAATTGATTTTTGCATTTAGTTTAGTATATTTGGTTTCCTATTTTGATTATGTAATTAGCCTATAAATTGGCTATTTTGTTAGAAGGAATTCAGACTATTATGATTGATGATATTGAATTTCAAAATGACTCTCTCTAAAATTTCTTCTCTCTTCCTCATATTTCTCCTAATCTCTCCTCTATTTCTCTCTCCTTACCTCTAATTTCTCTTATTTCTCTTCTCTAATTCCTTTTATCCCCGAGTTCTGCATCACCTATTCTCCACTTAAATAATCACAACTTCACAAGGAAGGATACCCACCATCGATCCCAGTTCCTGATCGTACCAAATATAAAGCCATTTCTTCTACCTTAAAAGGTAAAACATGGCTCACCCATGTGGCCAAAAAGATAAAAGAACAAGAATGAAGAACTAACCCATAAGCATCTACAATTTCTTGAAAAGCAGAAGTGAATTTGTTTGTGCGGAAGTAGGTAGGCGGTGATTCCTTCGTTTGCAAAACTTGGAATATAGCCCCAACTTGAGAGCTGCTGTCACAGGTCGCCCGTTGCAATGCATTTTGGATCTTCCAAAATTGATTGTGGTCAGTTAACATAAAAGGAAATCACTACAGTATTAAGACAGGAAAACTAAAATGGGATAGAGACGAACCTGATTTGATGCAAAAACAGGACACCAACCTTCTGAAACAAGGCACTTCTTGGTCACATCAAAACTGAGCATGTTTAGAGTATTGTAAATGGATTTTTGCTGCTTCACCTATTTAGTTAAGGGAAACGGAAAACAGTGACAAACAAAATACAATATTCAATGACTTATCCCAACATACGTGTGTAGGCACACACAGAAACACAAAGGAAGTGCACAGATGACATGCATCAGTAGCAAAACCTTTAGTGTTTGGAACATAAAAATTTTGTTTCAAAAAAAACAAAAGAAAAAAAATACAAACCAGAAGCTTCCACTGCTCATATTCATAGCCAATTGTCAGTAATAAATTGCTCTGGTGCAGGAGTCCGGCATCTATGGTAGTCTTGAGCTCTGAAAGTTTTCCAGAAACCTAGAAATTAAACTGTTTCGTATAATTAAGATTGCATAAGAGCGACTATAAAAAGAAGAGAATAGCTGCGTAGGATCCATAAAAAAATCCAATACAATTTTACAGTTGAGAAAACAATCATTTCAAATAACAAGCTCATAAATCGCCCAACAAAAAAAAAAAAAAAAAAAAAAAAATTTTTTAAAAAAACAACCCAAAAACACCCCCAAAAAAAAAAAAAAAAAAAAAAAAAAGATCTTGTATAATCAAATAACTTTTATATCAGGTAGACATCATCGTGAAGTATAAACAAGGTCCCATCAACTGCCTCTTCTACTTACTGACGCTTGAGCTTTTATGCCCGACTCAAATTATATGTTCTACCTTCTAATGGGCTGCACATTCTTTTTTAGCAACTCTCTGTGGAGCAATTTTGAATAACAAAGCTTCACATAGTGGTCTTGATATACATCGCTCTATCTACCCTAGATAAACTAATAGAAATTTAAGGCCATAAATGATAAGGTAGACCTTGTTCCAAACAGGTAGGGTGTATAGACACTAAATGTGGTTATTCACATTAGACTGCATAAAATGTAAAGTTGACCAATCAAGCAAAACTCTGAAATCTGACTATCTCGTATCATGTCTTGTTTTAATACCCAACAATAAGACATGTAATAAATAAAGGAAATTTTCTGTATAAGAACTTTCTCGACTTGAGGCACTAGAGGGCAAAATAAGAGTATCAATTTGATAGAAAATTCAAAATGTCATATGTCTGTATTAAACATAATCCAACAGTCATAAAATAAAGATTCAACCGAGATGCAATGCTCTGTAGCCAGCTGAGTATGCAAAACAGCGTATAAGAATGACGCTGTGTACCTCTGTAATCATCTGGAATTGGTTTCCTAAGTCATCCGTAAAAGGGTAACGGTTTGCTCCAAAACTGTCACAAATCTTCAGGATTTTGTTCTTAGCTCTTTCTCCAGAAAAGAAGATGACAAACACATTTTTCTCAACCTGTTGGAGAATGATAAGTCCGTAAAACTCAAGCACTAAAAGAAGAGAGAAAAACAACATGAAGTAAGGATGACTTTTCTAAGATACTTGAAAGAGAAAGCGATTTCACAAACACGGATGCACACACAAACATCTAGTGATATGAATGTCCATACAAAAAGTTTATGATTTATAAGAGAAATAAATAGTAAAAGATTTCCATCCCCGTTGCTAGACATCTAATGCTAGATAAATTAGTAAAGCAAAAGCATGTATGTAAAAAAGAACAAGTGCACGTTGAAAATGGAAGAGCATTTCAATTATTAACCTTCTCTCCTGACACAGGATCAACAACAGCGTCATTTACCACAGCTTGCTTCAAAAACACATTACCCCTGGTCGCACGAAACATAATCCTTTCAAAGGCCATTGATTTCTCCCTTGGAACAAGACCACTAACAAACCCAAGTTTAACTTGCTTTAAGGGATCTGTAACCATTTCCTACAAAAAATAAAATAAAATAAAGGAACATCTAATGATTTGTAACAATCATCTAGAAGGCAGAAAACATCTGAGCTGAGACCAAAACATGAAATATGAGAACTGAAAAACTATACTTGTTCCAGTAATAGCGGGCTATCAATGGATCTTTCACCAGAATGCTGCACTTCAAATTCTCTCTGTTGAGCTGCAGCACTGTTTTGAGCTGAACAGAAGAATTCACCAGCCTGGAATTAGAAAGAATAGATGGAATTCACTTTATGACTCAGATGACATCACAAAACAAAGCAAGGACATGTTGTTTGATCTGATGCATGATAAAACACAATTAAAGGGTTTTGGCTTCAATTAGAAAGTAATGAACAATGTTATCAAAATCCCCATCTCATTAGTAACATATCCATGAAGTATGAAATATCATACAACCAAGCAAAGCATTTTGGAATTTCCAAGAGTGAATCACATAAAGCTACAGTGTAGGTAATAATCGATACATACCTTCCGCAAAACAAGCTTATATTCTAATAGCTCATTATACGTGCGTTGTAACTTTTCATTGTTAGCATTAATTTCTAACAGCTCAGCTTCAAGTTCCCCAAGTTTGACCTGGCCACATCCAAATAAAAATTTGTTCTTATTATAGATCATTAGAAAGATATCTATTCCAGAGTACCGATTCAAAGATCTAACAACCTCCAAGTGATCCAGATCAATGTCGCTGCTTCTAATAGACCACATCGAGGATGACAACCCAGCCTTAACCATTTGCTCCCTGAAGAAACGTAGCTTGCGAGCCATTTCTCCACATCTTTTTATCTGAGTAATAAAATTATAACATCCCAGTACAGAAATACAAAGAAATTACATAGCATTTCGAGAATGATAGTATCTCACTGAATATCTGAGCTGTTCTGATCTGATAATTATATCAAATCAAACTAATTTGTCCGTGATTCTACAGCATTAACTAAAGCATGAACAGAAAGGTGAAAAGCTGCAATTCACAAGGACACGACCAGGTATAGCTAGCGATTTCCATAAAGACTCAATGTAAGCTTAAAGATAACAAAATGTTCGATCATAAACACACCTGACTAGCATATGTCCTCTGAAATGGGCTCTTTTCTGCATTGAGCTGCGCGAGGGAAAGGGGAAATAATCATTAATCAAAGAAAATGCCTATAAGATCAACTTAGACGATAGATCCATTATTGCCAAGCCGTGGTGTGTAATGACGAACATAAATAAATAAATAAAAAAAAAAAAAAAAAAAAAAAACACAAACACAAACTCAAACAAAAAAAAACAAAAAAATCTTTTACACGCAGTCAAAAGCCAAAAATCTTCAACAATTCAATCAATTTCTCAATGTTTCTCCTCTCGAAAGTGACAGATCCGGAATTCATAATGTCGCAGAGAACGAAAAACTAGAGATCGAAGAAATGTGATCGCAAAAAATTTCCGAAATATTTTAATTTTTAATTCTCTACAATTCTATATAAAATTTGTAGTGTCTCGAAATTAATTTAGCCAAATAAAATTTCCACTTACAATCCGACAAAACTACACTACCACAATTTCCAGATATAGAAACCGACTAAATCACGGTTTCGATTAACCTAGTTAATACCAAATAATGAACAATAACAAACAAAATTTGAGGAAAAAAAAAATCAAAACTTTACATCTTTGAATTGGAAAAGACCAAGGTCGCCGAGGTTGGTAATCGAACGATGAGCCGATTCCATAGGGATAATCAATTGCACCAATTGCATCGGCTCCGACCGCAGCAGATCCATCGTCGGACAACATTCCATTTCCTTTTTTAATGTGCGATACTTGGCTCTTTGCTTTTGAAAAAATGTATATACACACACACACATACATTTATATATACAAGCAATGCCTGATCGGAGAGGAAGTCTCCGATTCCGAGGGGGATCCGAATCTCAGGCTTCCGAGAAAGTTAGCAAAATTTCTTTTATGGAGGAGGAAAAAAAAAAACGATTTCGGCACCTAATTTTCCAGACAACTTTTACCTGTGGTTTTATAACGGCTCTTTGTTTTAGCGGTTGAGCCTAAGCGAACGAGGTAATGAAAGAGAGAAATTATTTCTTTTTATTATTTATTTATTTATTTTATTTTATTTTGTTTTTTTTAGGGAGAGTTGGGTATGTTAGGTTCATAGATTCAGAACTATGGTTCAGAATCATTTTCATTTTACGTATTTTTTTGTGAGAGAAAATATTATAGTAAGTCACGAACCATGATTCGAATCATGACGAAAATTCCCTTTCTAAACGTCCTCTGAATTCTATTGGTAGACGGAGTTTTGTATCCACCAATCAAAATTCAGAAGCAACACATGTTTTTGACTTTGACCTCGTTAAAATGCAACGTTTCACTGTTCCGTAAAAGTTTTTTAACGCCGCTCCTTCTTGGTTCTACTCTTCCAAGTTGCAACGGTCGGTCTCAATATGGAAAGTCGTGGTCGCGCAATTATACACCATTTCTCAGTGGTTGCCGTCGGTGAGTTTTAGGAGTGGTCACAGTAAAAGCCTTTTTCTTTTCTTTTCTTTTTCCTTTTTTTTTTTTTTTTTTTTTTTTTTTTTCTTTTTTTTTTTTTTTTTTTTTGCTCTGATCTTTTTTCTTTCATTTTTATAAGTTTTTTTTTTCTCTCCTCACAATTTTTGTTTGGTAGGAGGGATTGATGGATGGATAGAGAGGGGTGGAGAAAAAGGAGCGGAAGTTGTTTGGTTAGAAAGAGATGAGAAGAGAGAGGAGGTGTGGGGAGATGAGCAATCCATCTGGCCTATTATTTTGCATCTCCTTTCTATGGAGCAGTAAAAAAAAATAATAAAAACTCTTCAGGCAGAAAAAAGTTTAATTTACCCTCTAATGTATTCTTTATTTCTAGTTTCTTTTTTCTTTTTTCCCCTACCTTCTGAAACCTAAAACGTTTTCTCACTCTAATTGGGATTGGATTTGGATGAAAATAAGGATGAGAGTGATGCAAAGACATGTGATCAAAGTTTGAGAACGTTCTTAAGTGATTGGGAAAGGCAGAGGCATACGGCGGCAGTGCAAGTTGTTTGTTCTTTGGGGCAATTTATTTACATTATAAATTTGCACTATTATTTTAACAATGTTGATAAAGGACTTAAGAATAGTAGTGTAGAAAGCTTAATGGTCCGAAATGAGCTCGTGCAACGGCTTAGTATCAATGAGAAATGCCGTGACATAACCCGTATGAGACCATTGACATTCGTTAATTTTGTGTGTACTACTACGAGAGACCGGTCGACTTAACGACAACAAAAATGCAACAGTTGAAGAACAAGTGACCAAGTTTGTACACATGTTAGCACATAATGTTAGAAATTGAACAGTGTCCTTCTTCTTCTGTTGATAAGTAGATATTTTCATAAAGTATTAAGGGCAATTATTTCTTCAGAAGATGAATTCTTAAGGCAACCAAATAGAGTTGATGTCCCCTAAGAAATAGTCAATAGTCAAAGATTCTATCCATACTTTAAGATAAGAATGCTAAATTAAGCATTTTAATTAAAACATTTTTTTTCAAATGTAGTTTTTAATGTTCTTTGAATCTTAGGATTGTGTGGTTGTAATTGATGGAACACATGTTCGTGTTAAAGTTTCTAAAGATGAAGCACCATGATATCGCGAGATAAAAGAATGTCACTCAAAATGTCATGGCAGCTTATGAATTTAATATGAGATTCACTTATGTGTTACTTGGATGGGAAGGAACTGCATTGGACTTAAGAATTATAAAAAAATGCTTTGGTGATGGATGATAAGCTCATAATTCTTAAAGGTAAAGTTAAGTTACACTCTTTTTTTTCTTATTAAAAATATAAGTGTAAACTAAATTGTAAATCTTTTTTGATAGGAAAATATTACTTAATAGACGCGGATTACATGTTATGGACTTATCACACCGTATCAAGGAGTTCAATACCATTGAAAGAGTACTCTGCTCATGCTCCTCAAAACCCACAGGAACTATTTAATCATCGACATGTGTCTCTGTGCAATGTTATAGAAAGATCATTTAGAGTACTGAAGAAACAATTTCCTATTATATCTGGTGCAACGGAACCTCATTTTCCAGTTGGAACGGTAACAGAAATTGTGTTGGCATGTTGCATATTACATAATTATCTCATGGGCGTAGATCCTGATGAAAAATTAGTCAATGAAGTTGATGAGGAGCTCTTAACTCAAAATCCAGAGATAATAGAAATTTACAACAGACAAAGTAATGATGAAGAGGTTAGAAAAGGCGCAGCTATAAGAAATGAGATAGCATGAAGGATGTGGCAAGACTGTTTTAGAATGACTTTCATTTGTAGAAGTGTTTCATCTATTATTTTGGAAATATAGTTGTATATTTATGATAGTTATTTTGTAATTTTGGTTAGGACTAAGCTTTTTTGTAATTTTGAGTCTTTAATATTTCAAGAGCTCATTATCATTGTAATGTAACCTTTTTGAGCTATATTAATATGTTCTTAGTAACAGAGTTTGAATATTGAGAGAAATGAATCTGACTTGATATTTACTTATTATAGTCATATGCTTATACACACTTTTGATAACAACAGCAGCAAGAGGTAAGGAACGGAAAAACAAACATTAGATTACATAATTACAGATTTAAAGCTGTGGAAATACGTTTGCAGAGAATCAAGAGAAGCTCGATCAGTTTGTTAAGAAGATTTCGAATCATAGTAGATCAGCAAAAGATTTGGAACGGGCTCAACTCAAATTGACATCTTTTACACATTAACATAGATTTTGAATATTGACTCAGGTTAGCAACAATATGAATGACATTTTATTTTTTTACTTCTTTTTTTTTTTCTCAATTCTTTTCTCTTTTTTTTTTTTGGTTAAACTTTTCTAAAATATCGATTGAGTTTCTGGAATAGAATGCTCGAAATTGTAATTATGTCACAAACTATAAAATACAATTGAGTATATCATCATACACAACATATTATTTCACTATATGATTCATTTATTTATAATTGATGATAAAAATTTACAACAAACATTTTTTTAGTTTTTTTGCTATTCAAAATTTTCCTCATATATATGATCGTTGGATTACTTAAAAAAAAAAAAAAAAAGCATTGAAAAAAAATTTATAAATAGTTCATATAGATGATATGGGCAATGTGGCAATTTTGCAAAAAAAGAGTTCTATCTATCCTTCTTATTCTCTTTTCAATACCAAACAAAAAAATGGAGACATGATTTCTCTTCCTTCTGTCTTACTAAACAGAGAGCTACTATCATCTTCATCTTTCCAACTCTCAATCTTTTCAAAGTTCTCCATCCCATAACTAAACAGTGCAAACCCCCAGCCATTAACTATTGGCAGGTCCTATGAGCAAAACAACAACTATGGAAAAGAAGGTTCTTGAGGATATGGTATCCCTCTAATTAAATTTTTGACATTATAATTTTGACTCATGGATCTCTCAGTTTAAAAAATAAAAAAAAAGAAGATCGAACCATTTCTTCTGACTCATTTATTTGATAAGATTGCTAAATTTTAATTACATGTAAAATTAGTAGTGGTGGGACAACCAAATAAACAGAAAAATGGGAACATTAGATATGGCCTCGTAAGAAGATTGAAGTTGAACAAATTCAGTACTTCAACCAAAAATCTAATGGTTCACATTAATCATCCTTTTTTTTTTTTCTTTGAATGCAATGGTTATAATTTCTCCACATGGCTCGTGCATTGACACCTCACATAGAAGCGAGTGAAGAGTAATAAAATGGTTACTTTAACCTCTTTTTCTTACTATCATTACGCATGTTTATTCCTCTTTACTTTAACCAAGTTTTTTTCCCCTATTATTCATCTATATCAATGTCAAATAGTTACTTTTAATTTCAAATGATTCCTAAATTTGCATGTCCAAATTGATACAACACATTATATTTTCTTTCTCTACTTTTAAAGCCAAAATTAACCATCTTAGTTTCATTATCTTTTTACCGACTAACTCATATATTATGTCTTCATTTCAAGCAAAAATTCATATACTATGTGAGTAGTCATTTATGTTAGTACATATAAAAGAGAATAAGGACACGTTTAGTTCACTGATTCGAGTTTTTAATTTGAGTTGAGATGTGACTTTATGTGAGAGCTTTTTACCGTAGCAAAAAAGTTAGATGTGATTGTTTCTAAGAGCTTTTTTACTGTAGCAAAACTCAAATTATAAACTTTAATCGGTAAAATGAACGATACCTAAATATGCGTGTGTCAATTGATCTGCCTTTTTACTCTTGATTTTCGCCTTTTTTTTTTTTTTGGTATTGAATTGTAACCACGCGTCTATTTAAGTCCCAATGCTTGTTTGGAACTTCTATCACTTGAACACACACACACACACACACACACATATATATATATATATATCAATGAAATAACTAAAGAGGATATATAACAGGACAATAATTGAATTGTTATTTTTATTTTTCATTTTTCTGTCTATTGATACGTAACGAAAATATATATATAAAAAATAGACCGTTTATATAAAAAAAAAAAAATCCGTTGTTTGTAATATTGCCTACGTCATCTTTTTGTATAACTAATACATACATATATTGAATTATTTGTATATATTTTAAGAAGAATGACTAATATATTAAATTCTATATATAAATTTTCAATAATAAATTAAAATTACTTTGGGGTGTTAAGTTTGGATCTTATGTACATCCATAGAAATAATTTAGTACTATTTTGCTTTGTTCGATCATATATATTATATGTAGATAATAAAAGGAGAAAAAAAACAACAAAAACAGTAAAATGTTAACAAAAAAAGACAGTTAAACTTAAAAATAAAAAAAAATGAAAATAAAAATGATCGAAGAAAAACAAAACAAATATAATATGTTTTTAGAACAAATACAAGAAATTATATAAAAAACAGTATGAAAATATTACAGAGTTTTCCTAGTAGGA